GAAAAAAGTGAGGCAGTGTCCTCCAGGGCCCCCAGAACACAAGGGGCCTCGGGGTCCTTTAACAATTCTGAAACTACTTAATAAATCAATTTATATATGTGATTGTAGATAAATTAATTTGATTTGATACGTATTAATAATAATTATAAATTATTTATAATAAATATACCTAATATAATTAAAATTAAATGATTAGTGACTATAATAATATAATCTGATAATTATAGTTTTCGTAGTAATTAATCTTCCAAAACTCTTGGAGATTTATGAAAGCCAGAAAAAGAAGAAAAAGTAGTAGTAATTAATCGGACTTTCTTTTTACTTTGTAAATTTATTAATTATTCGTATATTATTTATTTATATACTCGTAGTAAATATTCAAATTTGACAGAAGATTATTATATATACATTTTGAACTTTCATGCACCGATAATATTCAGGGAATAGTTTAATAGAATTATACAGGTTTATTTACTGCCCCGGGTATGTATTCTATCTATCCTAGATACATCAATGGGCAGAAGTGCATAACTTTTACCTACGTAGTCGGTTAACTGTGTGACTGACTAATTTAGTTACTCTACGTCGTATAATTAGTCGTTTAACTAATATTTTATTTGACTAATTTCTATTATACTAGTTTTTATTTGACTTATTTTTATTCACTAAATTTAATTTATCTACTTCAGTGTTTCTCAAACTGCTAGTCTTAACAGTTTTACATTATATTTAGCGGTTCCATGGCAATAGAGAAGCACTGATCTACTTGGCTATCTATTTTTATTTGATTAACTATTAATTAAATGTACCTTTTTTTTTATTCATTTTGGTAATAATAAAAATTGTAATTAACTTTGCATGAATTTTATTAACAGTATAAAATATAAATTATACAATAAAATTGTATTTCAATAACTATTTTAACACAATTGAATGATAACTGAGGAACTTATTAGGGGTATAAAATATTTATTTTTATATGACCTGAGTAAAAACTACAAATACAAATGTACAATTTTGTCATTTGTTAGAATAATCCACCTATATGTATACATTTTATACAGTTTCAGAATCACAGTGCTAATAATAGTCAATATTGACTCATATTATAGACCTTTGTATATTTTAGTGTGTGTCATTATCGGTATACATTTTGTATGACTATTTTTGATTAGGCCTACGATCTACGAATTAATGACTACGAAGAAAGATAATTTTAAGTTTCTTAAAATTGGTCGGTAATTCGACTTCGGTACTCTGAATTCTATAGTAGATGCTCAGTCCTTGGTCAGTTATCTACTTACAAAACAAACGAATTTTAGCGAATTAGTCAGACTAATTTTTAGTCAAATTAGTCGACTAATTTATTTATATTAGTGGGTTGTGCACAATTTAGTCGAATAATTAGTCGGTAGTAACAAATAGCGGCTTCTACCCATCACTGGTGTACATCATCTTGCTCGCCGAGGAAAACGTTTCCGGTCATGATCGAAATAGATCACAGCGTTATTAAGTAATACACATCGAAACGTGTGCATCGGTACGCGTTCAAGGAATAAATCAATTACACTCTGGTATTCTCTACGAGCTACTGTGCTTTTTGGAAAAAAAATTCTTTGTCTGATAATGATGTAAAATGTAAAACGCGTCGCTATGGATCGGGGAAGAATTCGATACGTTCAAACTGTTAAATATTATTGATGTTTTAAAATAAAAAAATCACACTCGTGTACCCGGTTCCTATGTGGACCATTCGGTAGCTGTTATTGTAGAATTCCAAGGACACGGTAAGCGGTTTGGTCAAAATGAACCCGTTCATTTATACACCGAAGCGCAGGTCTTTGATAAGCACTGTGTAAAGAAACCGCCTCCGCTAGTGTTTAAACCCTCATGTATACGTTGCAAATTCGATTGTTCAGGGCAGCGGTTCTTGAAGTTTTTAGTTCGCCTTCGGGTCACACTCGCGAACCTCTAAAGCTTTTTTTAGATTACAGTTCCTTTCGAGAGCGTCGAATTATGTTAATTTTTCGAGCGGGGTTTCCTTTTTTTTTTTCTTCTTACGTTTAAATTTTTCTTTTGTGATGATCGGACACAGAAATACTAAAAACTTAAACTCGGCACAGGAAACGTTTGCACGCGAACGTCATTTCCCTCCGTGCTTGACGTCACGCACACCGTTTCAAACATCGAGTAGCCCTGAACGGGCAAATTTTTTTCCTTATCGTAATGCGTTTCTTTTTCAAGTAAACATATCAAAGGCCAATGTCTATTACTCATTATATTATAGTTGGTATGAAGACCACAAAATTTACGATTTGATATTTCCCACGGTTTTTTCAAATAGTTATCGTTGATATGGACAGCAAAACACTTGCGCGCTTCAAACAAATACAGTTCTTTGTTATATTTTTTTTCGAATTCATAACATATTTTATAATATACGGACACAAGTAAATATTTTTCGAATTTTTTTGAAAATACCGTTAAAATATTTTCAAAACACATAGTCGATTTAATTTAAAATCTTATCAGCTTGCAAAAATGCATTAGACCTATTTACAGATTTGATTTTAAAATAAAATATTTATCATATTTTCATGGTCACCGAACTAAATCTAAAAAAAAAAATATCTAAACCCAAGCGAATTAATTATAATAACAATTATAAATTATTTTTCCTTTCGTAATTATTTCGATTCTTCAAAGAACGTAATCGAAATCACTCACCTAAAGATGTCTTATATCCTATTGTCTTTTTCAAAAATACATATTCTAGTTTTAAAGATAATATCCGGTGAGTTTTTATTTTAGTATAATGGGTTATAATTACGAGTTATGATTAACGATTTTTATGTTCTTAAATTAAATACTTGAGATTCAAAACAAATGATAACACTAAACACGTTTAAAATTTAGATGATTATAAGTTGTGCGTAATATTTGTGTAGTCTTCATTAATATTAGATGTCTATTGATTAATAATTAGGTGAACATACTTAAAACAGGTAAATCTTCATTTATTTTAATTGTACTGCATATTTTAAATTTATGTAAAATTTAATTAATCATATTATAATAATACTAATGAATAAAATAACTAATAACCAATTGGTCAACACTTCTTATTACTATTTCATAATACTTGACCCGTACAATTGTGTGAATTATAATTCATAAGTATTATCATAAAAATAACATGCTGCAATGCAAATATTAACCTTTTAGTACAGGAAAGAATTTCTTGATGTTGGTTTAAAATATTTTATAAGAGTTTTCAACTTGAAAAATCGTTCTCATTCCGTTCGATTAAATACATATATAATTATGAATACTGTAATATAATATAAAACAGCAAGCAAACAGACCCATACGCATTCGTCAATTTGCATACCTTTCCTGTATTTATTTTGTTGTTGGTTTTTGTCAAATAATTAACTCATGCATTCGTCATTTATCACTAAAAAAAAAAAAAAAAAGAAATATTTTGATGTCTCCTCAGTTTTACTATGTTATAAACGAACTTTTGACATTTGGAAGTTGAACATTGGACGCGTATTGCAAAACTAGATATCACTTTACTCATTGCATAAAATTAACATCACAACAATACGTATTATCTATTGTATTCATTACGTAAGTGAACTTTGACCATATTGGGGGCGTGAAATTGTCAGCTATGAATTATACCACTAGGACATTGATCTATATTGTTCTAATCAGATACAACTAACGAAATGTTTGTGTGTGAAATATTTATATTTTTACATATTATACGCTTCAATAAATTCGAGTACCTACTTGACATATTTAAATTACCCACATTATTAAAATAACATTTTTACTATTTAAAATTAACCGTGCGTATCGGTATGTAATAGTATTGAAATGCTCAAATACTTATCCAACAATTTTCTGTGAATATTTAATTATTTAATAGTGTATCAATTATTTTCATGGTAATTATATAAGGTACCTATATTAAACTCGGTGATACAAAGTTATTAAAAAGGTTAGCCTTGAAAACGTACGAAGCTATTTATTAATTATCTACGATTTATAAATGTAATCAATAAATCAAAGATATTCACCTCAATCCTTAAAATCGCTGGTTATACGTACTTCATTTGTAGCTGTCATTTAAAAATTTTAATATTTTAAACATGAATAAAAAAATATAAATAAATACCTTCTAGAAGTTATTCGATTTATTTTTATTTTTATTATTTAGGCGTTTTTCAGACTATCAAGATGATTTATTAGTAAAGAAAGGTATTATTTGCATAATATCCAACAATCAAAAAAAAAAAAAATCAAGGGTTCACAGGTTCTTTATGTCACAATGGCGAGTATTGACTGAAAGTCGATTTCAATTTTTCTGTACTAAAATTTGTTTACTATTATGGTATATTTAAAATAATACAATGTATCAGTTTTCATAACTTGAAAGTTATTTTTTCAAATTCAAAAGATGTCATTTGTAGGTTTAGGTCATAATATATATTTAAAGGCATTGTAGGACAGCTGAAATTTCAGAGCTTCGACATTACAAGTATGCATTTTAAACTTAACATTTTAAATGAAATACAATCATTATACATTATTTTACGTCCTTACATAGCTAATTTAATCAATTGCCACAAAATAAATACGCTGCCTTTTAATAATTCATAGAAAAACTGTCAACAATAATGTAGTTATACCAAAAAGTACTTTGAATTTGACGTGAGATACAACCGATCCGATACATTTACAGGGGTTGGAGTTATGGCGGGAATATTAGCGTAGGCCTAGGCGGGACTCGGTCTGTACCTCGTTTTGCACTACTCCATTTGTCCTGTGTTTTTACGATTGTACTCCTTGCTATTCGCTCCCCCGCTGCTACGTCTCACCGTCTCTTGCGGTCCACTCTCATAATTATACGTATTGTTTCGGTTTACGATTCGTGCGTGGTTTTCGAGTACACGAATTTACCGTTATTTTTCTTCTTCTTTTCTTCGCAGTCAATGTCATCGTCCGAGTCAACGGAACAGCCCGGCTGGCTAAGACTCGGTGACCTGGCGATCGGTGACGGCGGCGTGTGCGTCACGTCTCTGATCAAGGACAAGATTCGCGAGTACATGTTGAACGAGGAACAGCAACAGGCGCCCGCGCCCACTCGCAAAAGCGGCGACACGTGCGTCCGTCGGATCGGCAACTCGCTGGACCTGTTGTTGCGCGACAGCCGGAACGCCGGGCACGCCGTGGCCGCGGCCACCGCCAGGAACAGGTCGTCCAACACAACCGCCGCGGCCGCCACGTCCGGCTCGACAGTGGTTGTCGCTTTGGCCGCCGCCACCGCCGCCGCGGACGACCACTGCGTGTCCACGACCATAAGCTCGCCAGCCGACAGCTCCGGGCCCACCTTCGACGGACCGCTGCCGCCGTTGCCGCCTACGTTCACCAAACGGTAAGCCACGTCGATCTGTATTATTTCTGTAAACGTATTGTTGGAAATCGAATAAGTGTAGTTGTTCGGACACGAGTGTCTATCGTTGAATGTTATGTTGTGCGAACCGTATTTTTAATGTTAACAATACTTCATAAACTTTAAGATTCCGTTTTTTCTGATATCCATCTTCTAACCTAACCCGGCGTTATTGAAATACTCAAAAAAAAAAAAACTAAAAAATGATAGACTTATGGAAAGTCTTAATCGATCATTTGTTGCGGTGGACGCACAGTCTATGCGCACTACACCGATTTGAACACATTTTTAAACCTTTCTACAATTTACCGTGGGTTTTAAATGTATGCAGATGCTTCGATATGGGCCTGTGGAAATCCTACGTTTCTCACGAAACCGGCCGATCTCAGATCTGTAAACTATATATTATTATCCTTTCTATTTTGGACGTTCTCAATAAAAAAAATAAATAAAAATCAACTTTTAAAACAAACGAAACGTAAACACAACATTGTTTTTAAGTCAATCGCACGAGGATCTGTGTACATTTGGTTGTTGCGTGAGATATCGATATGTAACTATATACGACGATATTTATAGTTTGAAACGGTATACAAAATGATTTTATGATCCACACAGTACACGCATCAAGGGTACATAAAATTGTATGACTAATAATTTGGCCGGAGTTCAATTATTTAGATCCCATATCTTCAAATATGAATTTACATCTCGGCGCGTATTATGAGACCTGAGAGTAAACGAACAAAAAATAAATGACACTTAAGAAACATTATACAACGAAAAAACCACACTATATGTATTAATTAAAAGTTTTAAAACAAATTTTTAAACAACAGAGTGTTCGTTTTATTTTTTAATTCAATATTAACTAATACTATGATAGAAATAAAATTATTTTATTTTTTTCATTTCTAATTACCGTTTTTAAATGTAGACAATTTATAGTTTTAATGATTTAAAAGCTTGAGCAACAATAATAATTTAAGTAATAATCTAGTATTAAGTTTCAAAATCTAAGCCGCAAATATTAACGAAACTGTACTATATATGAAATATATACATATTTCAATTACATTAATTTGAAATATAACTCATTCCACAAATAATCCAATATGATTTATTCATAGAAAAATTAAACACGAAACTAACAATTATAACTGTACGGCTCTCTATATGCAGTGTTTATTATATCTAATACATACTTAAAATGTGGTACATATACTTCTAATAAATTATGTTAATTAGAGCTATAATCATTAATTACATATTTAACAATAATTAAAAATTGTCATCATAATTATAAAAAGAATACACACAATTTTACAATTTTGGTTTGTGGACATTTGAGTAGAATATTTACATGTTATTCAAATTGTTTTAATTTCTTATTTTTAGTTTTTAAATGTTGTGACATTATTTTATTGGTATAAATCATATTAAATTTATCGTATTCATTGACAGTTGACTGTAGATACATAATTATTTTTTTTATATTTCTGATTAGAAATAAATTGAAAAATAATAATACGAACCAAATATATGATTTATATTACTACTTTAACTTCACTAAGTATTTTATATTGATTTCAATTGATAAATTTAACCTAAAGATTTCTTCATTTTTTTTTCGCTTTTATGACAACGACATGATGTATTCTACAATATTTTAATTTTTTTTTCTTTTAATTGATTCAAATTATAAATACGAATGCGTATGGCCTACATTATAATATAATTATTATTTAATTGGAGCGGCGTATATGTGTGATGTTTATTTACAATTAATGTTTTTATGGAAAACATTTTTGTAGTTTTGTCTTTAGTTTTATTTTAAATTTGTTTTTTTTTAAATTTAAAATATATTTTTAAATTTTTATTTTTTTATATTTTAGTTTTTTTCTTTAGTTTTTTTTATCCACAAATGCTCATAACATAATTATTATTATAATCAATAATTTAAATATTTATTTTAAATCAATTATAAAAATATCCTGCTCAATTATCTTATGCAGAACTTAATGCGGAAATTATTAAGTGACAAACTATTATTCACGTATGCACATATTATTATCTTTATTTAAAATGTTTTTCGAATAGTGAAAATTAATATCATTATATTAATTTTATATTTATTTAATATTTAAATATACATGTCATATATTCTTATTAAGAAATATTATTAGTGAATTAGTATTTTATAAAATGTAGTGTACTACGAGTATTCGCCAAAATATGGTATATAAAAGAGTTAGAAATCTGAAACTCGTAATTTCGTTTTTGTCTTCAAATAAATGCTATATACGAACAAATTATATATATATATATATATATATATATATTATTTAGTGTTTGAACATATAATTGAGTATTGCTATTTAAGAAGGAGAACCTAATTATTGATGTAAGAAATAATCCCTATGACATCTGTTTGAGTAAATTATTTTGACATCAGTGAATTATCTAATATAAGCCTGTTGATATTATCATAAATATTAAATACATTTTACAATTCATAGAGTTGCCGATGCTTGAGTTGGTAAATTATCATCGTCACAATTAATGGGGTCAAATTCAAGTATTAAGTCAAATAGAAGTAATTTGATTGTTTGATCAGTTCATAAAGTTGTGTTTTTCATCGTGTAAATGTTTTGGAGAAAATTTTAAAATATTCCTACGTGTATAAAGTACAGCATGTACGTCCTAAATAATAAATACTTTACGTGGGGACGTTGTGCGCCATAGTACCTAACAAGCTTAAATATAAACAATTTTTAATACCATTAATTTATTCGAAATATTTTCTGATCATTTAAATTTATTTTATAAATTCTTAAACTTATTTATGTTATTATTTTTCCAATTAGGTTTTATCCGAGTCTATTAAACAAATGGTGTGATTAAAATCATAAAAAATCTAAAAATTGTAGATTCTATCTTGGGAAATATTTTATATTTTACTCTATTTCGCATATTTATATAAGATAGTATAATAAATTCATTACAATTTTTGTAGCATACAATTTCTAACTACACCTTAAGTATGCATTATATTATGTTTAAATTGTTTCATTCAAAAAAAAAAAAAAAAAAATGCATTATTTTTTGATAAACATGAACACTCGTGATTTCATTGAGTTTATAAATATTTATTTAAATGAAAACATAGAAAAACTTAAAATTAAACAATGAATGATGAACGTGAAAGCAATAAATACAATAATTCTATAGATGCAATTACATATGAGATTACATTCGTTTTGCAAAGGATAATTTTAAAACAAATGCCTTCAGCATTGAAAAATGAAAATAAGAAAATTAATATAGTATTCAAATATTTATATATATATATATATAAATGATGTACAATCGACTTGAGTAATTATCATCAACTCTTTTTTATTATATTTTAATTTGTACATCATAACTTATTTAATGCGCATAGTGATATTATATAAATTCTGGTATTTTCTAAACATTAACGAATTTCGTTTATTGCAGTTTTGAAGCTTTTAATCTTTTACATATTTAATAATATTGAAGTTGTATATTAAACTTACGCACAATGATCTATGATTCAAAATTCGATATAGTTTTTACGATATTATAAATTATTATTTTATTTTTTTTTCATTTAATGATCTTTGTGGTATATTAATATAGGCATACACATAATAAACATTTTTTTTGACATAAATACAATTTGTACATTTGGAAATGGACGCGTGACAATACATATTATACAGTAAAAAATAATTATTTTATTCAATGAACGCTGTATGATTATGTTTTCAAAATGTACGTCTTAATCTTTTTATGGATATTTATTTAACTGGTTAGATTCCTAAAAATAATTTTTATTACAGGTATACGTTGTCAAAATATGTTATCGTCAGTTTTTCGAAGTTGAAACAGGGTTTAAATTTCAAAATTTTCTTTTGCTTTCAAATACACCGAAAAAATGGAGTCAAAGTATAAATAATTTGTTTTCAATTGAATGTTAGGGATCTTTTGGGTACAGCATTATTTTAAAACATTTTCATTCATTAAAAATGCGGTAAGGCATCTTCAACGTCATCTTTTTCACTACAAAATCATATGTGCCATTCAAAAACATAGACTCGTGACATGCATTCTTCACCATGTACTTAATTTAAGACTAGAAACGATTTCTCGGCAGCTTTATTTATATTTAGCAAACAATTAAGACAACACTATTCGGTACATTGGTTTACATAAACATATATTGAGACAAATATAACACTATTAAAAAGTAAATATAGTACACGCGTAGGTATTTATTAAAGAAATCGTATGAATTTAATTAGGTATAACCTATATAATCTAACTACTTTATTAATATAGTAATATTAACCGTATAATATACAGTGGGTCCACGCTAAGAGATATTAATAAATATTTCAGTTGACCTTGTATTAAAATGGGATTTTGGGGGGATGAGAGGGAGTACCAAAATATACAATTACAAATTTTTGACCAGGACGGTACGTGCATACGCAATACAACTTACTTTTTTTTAAGTGCTAACACTATTTTTTTCTGCATATTCGTATATAGTATTTTTTTTAAATAATTTTCGTATAAAATTTTTTTTCTAAAATTAGCAAAGTTTTAGTATGTTGAAGTTTAATAATCACGAAATCACGAATAATCTGTTGTTGACGACATTTTATTTATGTTAACTTAATACTTGAAAATCAAAATAATATCTTCCAAATTATTAAATAACTGTTTATAAACAGATAACATATAAATAAAGAAGATTGGCGATATTAATGGACTGATGAGTCTAAATGTACAAATAATGGTATAATGAATAAACAAAGCTATATCTATTGGGACAATACAAATCCACACTAGTCTCGAAAAACTATCAAACAATTTGAGGTATAAATGTGCGGTATGAGTTATTCGGTGATAAATATTTAGATCTTTAATTTTATGACGGGACACTTCAGGTA